TGTTCATTAATGATTTGGAGTTGGGAGTAAGCAGTGAAGTGGCTAAATTTGCGGATGATACGAAGTTGTTCAGGGTGGTGAAAACCAGTGAGGATTGTGAGGCACTCCAAAGGGATCTGTCAAAGTTGGGCGAGTGGGCGTCAACATGGCAAATGGGGTTCAATGTGGCCAAGTGCAAGGTGATGCACATTGGAGCCAAAAATCCTAACTATAAATACACGTTGATGGGGTCTGAACTGGCAGAGACAGATCAAGAGAGAGATCTTGGAGTTGTAGTAGATAACTCACTGAAAATGTCGAGACAGTGTGTGACTGCAATAAAGAAGGCCAATGCTATGCTGGGGATTATTAGGAAGGGTATTGTAAACAGATCAGCCAATATCATAATGCCGCTATATAAATCAATGGTGCGACCTCATCTGGAATACTGTGTGCAATTCTGGTCACCACACCTTAAAAAGGATATTATAGCTTTGGAAAAAGTGCAGAAAAGAGCAACTCGAATGATAAAAGGGTTGGAACACTTTCCCTATGAGGAACGGTTAAGGCGCTTAGGGCTCTTTAGCTTGGAGAAACGACGACTGAGGGGTGACATGATTGAGGTTTATAAGATTATGCATGGGAAAGAGCAGGTAGAGAAAGAGGTACTTTTCTCCCTTTCTCACAATACAAGAACCCGTGGGCACTCCATGAAATTGCTGAGCGGTCGGGTTAGAACGGATAAAAGGAAGTACTTCTTCACCCAAAGAGTGATTAACACTTGGAATTCACTGCCACAGGAAGTGGTGGCAGCTACAAGCATGGACGGCTTCAAAAGGGAATTAGATAAGCATATGGAGCAGAGGTCCATCAGTGGCTATTAGCCACAAGGTATAGATAGGGACTCTGGGGCAAGTGATGCTCTGTCATCTTGGTGCTTGGGGGGGGGTCAACAGTGGGAGGGCTTCTAATGTCCTGGCCCCACTGGTGGACCTCCTGATGGCACTGGTATTTCTGGCCACTGTGGGATACAGAGTGTTGGACTGGATGGGCCTTTGGCCTGATCCAACATTGGCATCTCTTATGTTCTTATGTTCTTATGTTCTCTAATCTGGGAGAACCAGGTTTGATTCCCCACT